GTGCTTGCGTACCTCCTATGTTTTCACGATCTTTCCCATGGCGATGTCGTCGACCACAGCGACCATGGTGGCGATTATGCTCGTTGCCGTGGTCGTGGTCGTGATCCTCGTCGTTGTGGTTGTGGTCTTTCTCAAACTTTTCCCATGCCTCATTGGTAAACGCAAACCTAACAAGAGAATCCTTAACCAACATCTTCAGTTTTGTCTTCAGAAACCCACACAGTCTGCTTCCGATCGCGGTTGTCCAGATCATCGCCCACGCCTCGTCCTTGCTCCTTCACGACTTGAGCAAAGCTCGACAACCGCGAGTCCTCCTCGATGAGGTCCGCTGAGCACATGATCATCAGCTTATGGAACAGCGATGGACCTTAAATCTTACCAATAGTCTTTTCGTCTTGAACGGGCTTGAGAGACCCCACGAGATCGTCCATGAGATCCTCGATGGGCCAAGTAAACGCGGGATCTTCGATCACGGAACGCAGCACGGCGACGACCGGGTCGCTGCTGGTAAACGGCAAAGATGGTGCTGCGCGGGTCGCGACGCATCCAAGTGCGGTTGAGAGCAGAAGAGGTGAGAGGAAGCGCATTTTTTGTTGTTGCCAAGTCTTCTTAAACAAAACACACGGCGGGCAGAAAGTGGGAGTGCCTTTTATAAAGGCGGAACTTTCTCACGCACTTCGGTTCGCACACCCGTTTTCGCACATGGTGTCTCCCGATGCTTCTTCTTTGCCTCCCTTATGTCGATCGAAGTTAACATGTCGATTGAAGTTTACTCTAAATGCTCTGTTACTGAAAGAGCTGGTAGCCCTAAAAACGAACACTATGTTGTTCTGCTGAACCTAAACTATCTGAAAAACGTATGTCTTTTCTCATCCCAAAACACAAACAGAATATGATACAATAAAATGAACAGTAAAACTCCAAAAAAGTTACTCCTTTGGTGTTTCTCTTGCGCTCCTAATGATCAAGTCATTGCAATCATTTGCGACACCTGGTCAGGACACTGACACACGCTCCCGCACTTGCCGCCTCCACAGCACCGATCCCCAAGGATCTCCTGCAGCTTGGCCACAAAGTCCGGCCCCGCCGACTGCGGGCACGCACCGCCACCACTCGCGTTCGTAGTGTTCGTCATTGGCACCGGCGCAAACGTGCTGTTCGTCTGAGTTGTTTGCACGAACGCTGTCGAAACGCCGCCGAGTTGTTGTTGCGCGGGCATCATCATCGACGACATGCCCGATAGCTGGGTCTGCAACTCCTCGACCTCTTCTTCCTCCTCCTCTTCCTCGTCGTCGCCGTTGCACGAACACACTGAGCTACAACGACACCCAGACTCGGAGTCGCTGCTACTCACAGTCGCACACATGCATCCACCGCCACTGGCGGTCCCGCACATGCAGCCTCCTCCCCCACCGCCGCAACATCCACCACTAACGGTCGTTTGTACGGGATGGGGGGAGCAGCAACCTGATGTCGCCGGCTTGGAACTACCCCCACAGCATCCTCCGCTGGACGCAGTGCGTGTGACTGATCCCCCGCAACATCCTCCGCTCGGCTGGGGTGCTACGACGGGTGGTGGTCGCGCCGACTTTGACGAGCAGCATTTTGACCCTGAGGACGCACGCACGATCTGACCGTTGGGCGGCTTGGTCGAAGGCGGCATACCTGCGGACGCAGCTGCAAGCAGCGAGAGAGAGGATATGTCAGGTGCATACGACTGAGGCAACTGCCTAAAGTCTTGTGAACTGGGGGTCGTCGGAGTTTGGTAGTAACCCGGCAAGGCATTGTAGTTGTACTGCGGGGCTTGAGCGTTCGGGTACGGCATAAACTGCATCTGGGGCTGCTGCGGGAAGTTCGGTGGTGCGGCGCTGAACATATTGTAAGGGACCTTTTGAGCGAGGGGATGGTTATATGCGTCGTATCGCTCCATAGACGAACTCAAATGGGCAGGTCGTGGTGCGAGGGGGACCTGTGGCTGCAAAGGACCGAACGCGGCGCCGTTGAGCACTGCATAGGTCGGTGATGGTTGTGGATTCGAGTTTGCAGAGTTGTAGAACTGAATGGGGATATTGGGCTCGGCTGATGTGTTGGGGTTTGTGAGGACAGGCAGAGGAGGTGTCGGTGAGTTCTTTTGCTTTCCTCCGCAGCTGGACGAAGACACGGCGTCTGAGTTTGAAGCGGGAGAGTCGCTTCGTGCTGCATCCTTTTTGGTGCGAGTTTTCGCTGTGAGGTCGGAGCAAATACAGGTGCCACCAAACTGGCATGAGCAAGGATTATCTAACATAGAGATAAAATTGTAAGCTGAGCGTCCCTCGGTTTTTCTGTGTCCCTTACTGATAAACTTTTCAAAGTCGACGTCAACAGTTTCAGCTACAACCTCAAGGGACTCAAATTTCACTTGAACGCTTTCGAGGATAGGAGCTTTTCCTCCTTTCCGTGCGGGTACACTCGCAGAAGCCGAAAGTTCAGGAGACTCAGACTGTGTTCCTTCAGTGGTAGTAGCTCCGCGTTTTCCGGCAGTGGCCTTTCTGTCAATGCGAAGGTTAATCAGTCCATCATTCTGGAGACGTTCTCGCAGCCTCTCAGGGTCGTTTGGTTCCGGGGTAAAGATAAGAACGACGCCAGAAGAGAAGCGAACTGGGAGAGAAAGGTTAGCAACCATCCATTCGAACGCCAAAAACCATTGACAGTATATCTACCTTCGACTTTCTTCTTTACAGGCCCACTTCCGTCGCCGCACCAGCACCTGTGGTGGGAGTGACCGGCCCTGACCTTTCTGCGTTCTCTGCAGTGGTTGCACTGGGTGACTGGCCTCCCCTTGGACTTTATTTCGATTAAGGGTCTCCCGTAGACGTGGTCGCAGGTAGCGTTCCTGTGGCCGGTCTGGCACTTTTTGCAAGCAAACTTGAGGTCGTCCCAGAATATCATCGCTCAGGCCAGTTTAATTTTTTAACGATCCAAGTTTTGGACGGGGAGGGGATGGATCAGGTGACTGAGCGACACGAATCAAAATTTGACACTCGGGAAGATGTGATTTGCCATCGGGAATGTTCTTCATGGTGAACTCACGGGCAATTGGAGCAAGAGTGGTAGTGAGATTGGTGGGATCCGAGGAATCTGGCCACTGTTCATCAAAATCAACGGTCTCCAGTAATTGAAGTTCAAGAAAGGCCGGAAGGTTTGTGGTTCGATCAGAGTTAGGGCGAATCTTGCAACACGAATAGCTTTTGCAAGTCCAATTTCAAGAGTTATGTTGAAACTAGGATTGTGCTGGCAACCCTCAATTAATGGTAGAAGTGTTGGCAAGTAATCAGCAATTTTGTCGATGAATGACATCTAGAATGTTGGGGTCAGCAACTGCATCATTGAGAAAAGTCTAGCCAGTGCCTGTTGGTCTGCTGAGAACTGAGAACGAGGAAGAATGGAGCAATAAGCAGGCCATTAAGATGTGCGTCCAGCATACTTGCAAGCAGAGAGAATGGTAGGAATTGTTCTTTACTGAGTTGTCTAGCTGGGCGTCAAGCAATGTCAAGGATGGTTGATGTATCACCAGTCCACATATCTGTTCATTATGAGAGCTTAAAACTGTGCGGGCATACTTATTCCAAGATTTGCCTGATAGCAGCAAACGATAAAATCCATCTTGTTGTTCTTCAATTGTATGGAGATAACCTTCTGCAACATGTTGGAGATTCTGAAGAATCTCCTGCATTCATTGGATTTGTTCAGCCTGTAAGATCATCAAGGAATTGTACTATGCTATGCACATATGAAAGAATGTCAGTTGGGTAGCAACAATGATGCATTGTTTGAATTAAAATGGAGTGGTACAGAATGACAGAGTGGATCATTAGTGTTGATTCAGTAATATGTTGTTCTTGAGTGTCAAGATGTGGTCAGGATTTGCATATGGGGGAAGTTTCTGCCATTCAGCATGACAAGTATCAGAAATTGTTTCTGTAGGTTGCTGAGGATCTGTGGCATCAGCAGGTAAGAGGTCTTCTTTGTTTTGAGCTTCATCATGATCAATATGCAAGTTGGCAGCCTGAAGCTTCTTTTGTGATCCAGATGTAGGTCATAGATTCTTGCATTGTAGTTTGCAACTGCACTGCAGTAAGTGTTAATGTTGGTAAATTATGTCCAACGAAAGTTGTTGTTTGAAATCTGCAAGGAAAGAGGTCTTCTTTGTTTTGATCTTCATCATGATCAATATGCAAGTTGGCAGCACTGAAGCTTCTTTTGTGATCCAGATATAATATTTTAAATGTTTGCCAGTGGAGGCGAGTGCATGAGCGATGATGTACCCTTTTTTTGTGGTGTCCATGAAGAACATTGGATAACTCAATGTGATGTATGCTGCGGTAACATTTTCAACATGTTGTTATGCTGTCTGTCAGAGTGATCTAGCAAGTTGAAAGCCATACTGATGTGGATCTTGGAGTTCCTCAGGATATTGGACGTCCCATCGATTTGAAACACGCGCCATTTCTAGCCAACTGTACTTCTGTTCTTCATTGTGATATGCAAAATAATTGCAAATTTAAAGCAAACTGGCGAGACCACTTGAACCACTGTCATTTGATGTCCAGAGAGGTTCCTCTTCAGTTGTTGGCAATAAATGGAGAGTAACTTAATCTCTCCGACTGGCGGTCTTATGGATAAGTGGTTAGGATGTTTGGATCGGTTTGGGTTGTGTGAGGATGGCTGGACATTCTTATTCAGTTGCAGTTGTGCACTTGGGACGCTGCTTCATGCGAAGCTGGCCAGTTAACATCGGTTCGTGTGGCACTGCTCGATTCACACAAAATTTCATCCAAGTATTTCTTTTTTGTCTAAGATCATTTCAACATCCTTTCTTGTGCACAAATTGGTTAAGACAATAATTTCGATCTTTTGAGCCTGTTGAATACAAACGTTGTTTAACAAAGAAGTTTCGATGTTTTGTTGCTGTTCCTAACTTAACTTGCATGAAAGAAAACTATCATCCTTATCTCATAGTTTGCAACAGCCGGGAATTGAACCCGGGCCTGCCGCGTGGGAGGCGGCAATTCTACCACTGAACTACTGTTGCTTGGAAAACTCTCTACCTCTGTCTCTCTGTTTCTCTCTCTCTCTCTCTCTCTCTCTCTCAAATCAATGCCGCCTCCCAGCGCTCCGCATGCGCAGCCGCCTGATGCGCCGCATGCCGCGCCGCCCGCCGCACCCCCCGCTGTGCCCCCTGATGGACTTTCTGGTGGCACCGTGATTTTTGAGGCCCGTTCGCACCCCCGTGCCTCCTCTGTTGAAAATTCCGCTCCACAGCTTCCATTCTCCGCTCCTGCCTCTCCAATTCACTGGGCCGATGATGTGAATATGGGGGAGGATGAAAATGCCGAATCACGTGACTTCCAATCACGTGACCGACGCGCCAAAAGACCTGCTGAACATGAATTGCCCCGTGGTCGCTCCCGTTCTCGTTCCCGATCACATCTGCCGGGTGTCCGGGTTCTTGCTGCTGTGGCTGCTCCCTCGAGTGTTGCATCTCTGGCCGATCTCCGTGTCGTTCTCACTCAGATGCGATCTGTTTGTGCAACCTTTGATCCGTTGGCGATGCTGGATCCTATGCTTGCACATTTGCCGAGGGACACTCCTGCTGAATTTTTTAGTGTTTGTCGTGATATGGCCGAGGATCTGGTGGGTCGCTTTGGGAGGCCGCTGCCTTCGCCTTCACCTCCGGTTGCCCCTGTCTCCCGCCATGATGATGTGGCTGCGCCTGTGTGCCTTCCCCCTAGACAACTGCATGGTAATCCTCCAATTCAGGACGATCTTGGGAACTCTGGTGCTCCTGGCCCTCGCCCCCCGTCTAGTCGACCTGCCCCACGTGGACCTCGTGGTCCACGCACTTATGCCGCTGCTGCTGCCAATGCCCGTGCCCGTGTGCTTGAGAGTCTCCCCACACTGAGTGCTGAATCTCGTACAGAAGCTGTCAGGACTGCCCTTGCTGGTCGTGACCCCACTTCGAATGTCAGCCTTCGTGGCCCTCGGCCTGTCGTATTCTATCCTCCGACCTCTCCGCTGCTGGTCTCCCCACCTGCTGATCTTCAGGCCCGTGTGGATGATTTGACCACTGTGTACATCAAGGACATCATGAGACAGCGGCTCGGCTTTGTGCGGACCATGCTGAGGGCTCTCTTGGGCGATGAGGTGGTGCGTGGTATCCGCCACATCAGTTTCGTTGGTCGCAACATTGCTTCCTTTATCTGTATTCGCTCAACCGCAATTGCTCTCCGTGCGCACTTCTCCACCCAGGAAGCTTCCACTGACGAATCAAACCCTGACTTTCTTCGCCGAGCCTCTACTCTGCCTTTGGAGCAGCGGGAGGCTGCGGTCAGGGAAGTTGTTCACAAGAGATATGCACATATCCTCAGTTCAGTTACTGATCCTGCTATTTTCCTGTATGTCCGTGGTCAGCTCCCCATGGATGCTCAGGAAACTGTGCTGGACAGTGCCCGCGGGATTGCGCGTCAGCCTCGCTCAACCCATCTTCGTCAATGATTAGTGTTCGAGTTGGTACCTTCAATTGTCGCAATTTGAGCTTTGGAGTTCTTGATTCACTGTTTCGCTTTATGCGCGCAAATCACATTGTTTTTCTGCTCCTGACTGAAACACACCTTTTTCCTTTAGACCCGCTGCCTTCTCCAGATTTGATTTTTGACACTCGTTTTTCTCCTGGGTCATCGGGTACACGACAGGCTGGTGTGGGAGTCTTGATCAATCGCAGTCTTTGTAGAGCTTCTGATTTCCGTCTCGTTTCTAGTTATGGTGGCACCTCTCTATGGTTTACATTTCGTGGGCTTTTGGTTGGAGGGTATTATTTGCCTCCGTGTGGTATTGCTCAGGACCCCTTCCTTGAAGAGTTTATTGCTTCACTTCCTCAACATGTCCCGTCGTCTCTGTGCCCTGTTCTTTTGTTGGGCGATTTCAATGCCCGTTTTTTAGCTACTGGTGATCATTCTTCAAATCGTAGGGGTAGGTTGTTTGAGCAATTTATTTCTGCCGCTAGTTTCTCTCTAGTTAAGCACCCTTCCTGTCATAACCCCACATTTTCTTCTCGCAATGGTGACTCCATTATCGATTTGTTGTTTGTCAATCCTCTGCTTCAATGTGATCCTATTTCTTACATAGTTCATAGTCGTCTAGCCGACGGCGAGTTTATGCCTTGGGCTTCTGACCATTTTCCGGTTACAGCTGTTTTTTCATTTGCTCCTCCCAATGCCAGCGCTCCCTCTGCTGCACCCCCCCACAAGCGCTGGGCTGCTCATCTGTTGCGTGAACCTGCTGTCTTTCAAGCAATGGAGGATGTGGGACATTTGTTTTTTGATCCCACCCTTGCTGATGTCAATGCTGCACTCAGTCCAATTTTAGAAGCTCCCGCCTTTGCCCAAATGTCTGTGGATGTTGCACAGGGATGTATTGACTCTGCATTGGATATTATTTTGTCCTTTGTTACTTCCTGTGCTGCTTGTGTCATTGGACCCCCCAGTTTAGTTCGCCGTCGCCCTGCCCTGCCATTGTTGCCGCCGCATTTAGTGGCCTTGCGACGGAGCTACTTACTTGCTCATAAGCACTATTTAGCTGTTTCTTCCTGTGATGATCCTGATCCTGTTTAGTTGAGTATTGCCGCTTGGAGCGTGACCGGCTATCGCGTGAGCGTGTCAAAGCTTTTCGTACTTGGTCCCTCTTCTCAGCGAGCTCGAGAGGCTTCTGGCGACAATATGTTTAGTTCTTCTCCTAGTTCTTTAACCGAGGTTAGCAAAGTTCTTTCCACCTGCGCGTAGGTGTCATCAACGGCGCTCAGCTGCAAGTGGTTTATTGTCTGATCCTGCCTCTTTATCTCATTATCGCAATCACTTTGCCTCCGTTTATCAGACTCAGTTTGCACAATCCTCTGCCAGTGCAGAACACGTTCGTCTACATGCGCTGAATGATTCTGTGTCAGTTAGTGTTAGTGACTTTGTTTGTGCTATTCGTTCTTCCCCAAACAACTCTGCTCCTGGCCCAAACCATATTCCAGCTGAGTTATTTAAGCCGTTAGCTTCTGATGTTGCTATCCTTTTTGTTCAACTTTCAAACGCTATTTTCCGTTCAGGTTTGTCGCCCTCTGCATGGAATGCTGGCTTGTTGTTACCTGTTTGGAAGAATAAGGGTTCCATTGGTGATATTAGTCAGTACCGCCCCATTACTTTAACCAATGTTGATAGAAAAATCTTTGAGCGTACCCTGCTTCCTATGCTTGTAGCTCATGTTGGTAAACTTGATCCCGCCCAAGCTGGTTTCCAGGCCAATCGTTCAGGTGTTGAGTGTGTTTTTGCATTAGATGCTACCCTTCGACGGGCTTCCCGCACTGCTCTGCCTTATTGTGTTACTTTCTTAGATATTAAAGCAGCGTATGATACTGTGCATAGGCCTCTTTTGTGGGAACGTCTTCGTCAATTTCCCAGAATTCCAAACCGTTTGATCTCTGTTTTGATGAGTATGTTTGATCGTTGTTCTTCTCAGGTTGTTATAGAGAATCGTTCTTCTGATTTGTTTTCGCTTCCACGAGGTCTTTTTCAAGGTTCTGTTTTGTCTCCGTTCTTGTACTCAGTTTTCATCAATCCTTTAGCACAGCTCCTTCGTCGTGAATCTTCTCATCTTGCTAGGTTTTCTTATAACACTCCTGTTTTCAATTCGTTGTTTTTTGCTGATGACATAGCTTTGTTTTCTGCCACCCCTGAGCAGGCCCAACGTGCATTGAAAATTTGTGAAGATTTTGCTTTAGCTTCTCATTTTGTGTTTTCACCTTCAAAGTGTGCTGTGTTATCTTCTCAACGGTTACCCACCCCCTTGAAGCTTCATGGCTCTGCCCTCCCTGTAGAGGTTTCATTTAGATACCTTGGTCACTATTTTACTATTGAAGGGTTTGATCTTGCTGCAACTATTGATCATCGCTTAGAGAAAGCTCGTGCCTCATTGTATCTTTTTGCACCTTATGTCTCGTACTTTGGTGGGTCTGCTCCTCGTGTTGCCAGGTTGTTGTTTTTGTCTTTTATTAGACCTTCACTTGAGTTTGGTTTAGCACTTATTCGGCCTTCCACTGCTCAGCTTCAGGTACTCGAGCGTTTTTGTTATCATGCACTGTGTCGTCTGTTTTCACTAGCCCATACCACTTCGCGTGTTGGTTTGTTGCTGTTAGCGCAAATTCCTACTTTTGAGTTCAGGCTGAAGTACCTTCAGGCACGTATGTTTGCTCGCTGGTCTAGTGATTCCAGCCCTCTGTTACCAGCTGCTGTGTTGCAATTCTATCAGTCATCTCCAGTAGGTTATGGTTCATCTCCTTATTTTTCCGCTTGTCACAATGATCTCATTGTTCCTATGCCTGTTGTGCCCCCACTTCATCCGTTGATGTTGCATTTTCAGTCTTTAGCTGTTGCACATAATGGACCAATTGCAGTTTCGTTTGCCCCTGTCCGCAATTTGAAACTTCGCCACCCTTTGTTGCTACCCCCACACCAACATCTCCCAACAGTATGTCTTCGTTTGTTCCTGCTATATCGGCTTGGCCGCCTGTTTCCAAACCCCCGACCTTATTGTAGGAACTGTCATGATGCCCCTGAAGTGTCGCGTGCCCATGTCTCTGTGTGTCTACATTTGCGTGCTAGTTTGTCTGCTAGTTTTGATTTAGGCCCGCCTGACGATCCCCAGCCTACCTCTTGACATTGCAATTGATATGCTTTCACCACGGCCTTTTTATCCTTCCCCTGCTTTTTCCCAGTGGGTTCTTGTTCTTCGTGCACTTAACCGCATTTGGTCAAACTGTCTTGGTTATGAGTTAGTTTTGTCTCCAGCTCCTGATTCTATCTTGTCTGCTTTTGTTGATTTGGATATGCCTTAGTGTTTTGAAACATTTTACTTTTCCTACGGCTCGCACGGCTCCCCATGTGCTGCCAATTTACGTGTATTTTTACACTTGTATTTGGATTTTGCACCAGCGGGTGATATGTATTGGTTGGACAATAAATACATATTATGAAGTTCAAAGAAAAAAAAAAT